GTGAAACGGTAACTTCATAGGAGAAGGAAAAAACATTCTTTAATGTACACTAAGGTAAAAAGATTTTGTTCGTTTGGACCATTTCTATTGGTCATTTTGTCATGAAATGTTCAATAAACTCAAAGGACAGCTAGCATTTTCAAATGGTCTAAATAAAAAAGCAATGAAAGAAAAAAATTGTGGTTATGTTACAACAGCAACATTATGTGAAATGTTCTAACAGTGTTCTACAATTAATTTTAGTGTGGTTTTACATTATATAAACCAGCATTGTTCTTTATGGAACCACTTCTCTCTATTGCTCAGACTACATGACTCACAGTTTAACAAAAGTAGATGAAAGTGTTCTTTGTCTGACATTTTTGATATTTATTTTCCCTTTGATTCAAGTAATAGATGTCATTTACTTATTAATGGCCCTATGAAGACGCATGTAACAAAGGAGAAGTAGCTGTTCTTCTGGAAGCCTAGGAGGTGGTGCTCTAGAGAGAGAGGTGATGTTTGCAAGCCATGTTTGTACCACATGTGCTCTGAAGCTCCATATCCTGTGGGTCTTACGGCTTTAAACAATTTTCTTTCCAACTTCAAACTTCAATATAGAGGGAGAGAGGAGGTGGTAAAAGAGTTTGATGAAATGTTTAGACATACAATAAATGTCGAAGTGTTCAGACACCCTTTCTATTCTAATTCAACTTTAAGGTTTGCCCACCTCTCACACAGGCAGTCAATTGCAAGCGCACATTATGTACTTGTATAATCTCATTAGAAAATCCAATGTAACGGAAGGCTCTGCAGCAGCCGCATATGAACCTTGGGTCACAATGCTCAGTGCCAAGTATCGGCTAGAGGGGTGCAAAGCTTCTCAGCGTTGGGCTCTGGACCAGTGTAACTAGGTTCTCCAGGGTGATGAATCACCATTGAATATCTTTGGGATGAGGTGGAGTGGAGTTTGTGATCCAGAACTAATCATCTGACATCAGTACCTACTTAATGCTTTTGTGAATGTAATCTAATCCTCACAGCAATGTTCCAACATCTAGTGTAAAGCCTTCTTACTATTAGAGGCTGTTACTGAAGCAAAGGGGGACAAACTCCCTATTAATACCCTTGATTTTGGAAGAAGCATTGGGTGAGCAAGTGTCTACAAACTTTTGGGCATGTAGTGTGCAGGAATGAAGAGAGTTAAAGGTCTATATTAGGGCTAATTTCTAAACAATAGAAATGCACTCAATAAGAACAAAATGGAAATATACAAAGCCTTTTAAACGTTCCGAAATATGTTTTTGGGACAAGATCAACTATGGGAAGCCTTTACAAACACTATGGGTCAGATTCCTGGACAGAGACAAAGTAAGCCTGGGCTACATAGTATTTTGAATCATGTATGTCAAAAGTTCTTAGAAATGGGTTTGCTATAGTAGTAGTAACCACAGCAACCTTAGTCTATACATGAATGTAGTAAGGAAGATCAGGGGAGTGTTTGATATAATCTATCTGTCATAGTTTGTGTGTGTGTGTGTGTGTGTGTGTGTGTGTGTGTGTGTGTGTGCGCGTGCATGCCGTAATTACGCGGGGCTTTTTAAAAAGGATGCTGTTAACCAGCTCTGTCAGCGTGTGGCTAAGGAGCAGTATGGTGATGGACACATTCTTAAAGCATGACTGACAGCTGGGCAGGGTGCAGACTCACACGCACATGCACACACAAACACATACACACACACACTTCTCCCTGGCTGGCACCGCTTTTAGGCTAATTACTCTAGCAGCCAAAACTAGAGGAGCTCTTGGACCAAGCCCAAATGGGCCATCAGCACCAGAGCCTTGGATAGTTGAACTCCTCACTCACTGTGATATACTGCATCTCACACATGTTCACACTCACACGTCCAACTTCCAAAGCCGTTAGCCCATTGCAGGGGTCAAACCGGAGACTTACTGGTTCAGTAATAAAATGAAAGAGAGCCGATTTAGTAGTGTGAATGTTTTGCTCATCTTTTGGCAAGTCAGGACAGTATATAGTTCTCCCTGTTTTAAACTTGAAAGGAGGTGAATACACCCACACACAAACTAATAGCACCGCTGCTGAGTCCTGGATTACATTGCTGAAGTTCAGCGCTTATCATTAGTTTGCATTTATGTTAATTATGATTACACTTGACAAGAGCATGGAAAGGTCAAGTGGAAGTTGCAGTGCAAACACTTTCCTTTCGGGCTCACACACATGCACACAAACACAGTCCCTCTCTGAATTGCCTGCAATTTGGTGTCTGAACAGTTCTCCCACTTTCCCTAAGCTTCTATAGCTCAATGATATCTTTAGCTTGAAATTTCTCAGTTTTTCAGAGATTTTGTATGAACGTCTGTCCCTCTTATAAACAGAGCCATTTAAATTGTACAATGGAAAATATTGACTAATAAAAGTGAGCCCATCTCTATATTGAGGTCTACCAAATGGCACAGTAGAATAGCACTAGAGAAAGCAAGCTTTAGATCTGTATAGTCTAAGGCCCCATCCACACAGATCCGGATATTTTTGAAAGCGTATTTTTTTGTCTCAGTGTTTTGGCCTCCCATCCTCATGAAAACACCAATTTAAGTCACTAAAAATGGAGGCTTTTGGAAATGCCCTCCAGGGTGGAGATTTTTGAAAAATCTGTTTTCATTGTTTTCATGTGGATGGGCAAAACACAGTTTGTTTTAAATGCTGGCGTCACGCTATAAATTTGTGCATGCCTGTTGCTGTTTACATTATTTTAGCATGCAGAATTCGGTAAACAGTAATAAACTTTAAACCGCAATGATTTTTATTTACAGCATTCTTCATTAAAAAAAAAAAAACAACTCTGAAAATATCCAGATTAGGGATGGGCAATATGGCAAAAATATTACATCACAATACTTCAAGACATTTTCACAATCCATGATATGCATCACAGTATTTAGATTTTCTGAGATTTAATAAGTTGAAACAGTTAAAATAAAACCTGAAGTCCTATGTTTCGAAAATTATATAATAATAATAATAATAAACCTATAACTACAATGATTTTTATTCACTGTTTTACAAACTGCACTGCAGTAAATCTAAACAAGCGTATTTATGCTCACTTTGTAATGATATGTAGTTAGTCAGTGTTCTTTAAGTACTGACGATATTCATGATATGCTCAGAGAAGTATATAGTGACATAATTACAATAATGGTAAAATATTGTCATGTTGCCGACACCTAATCTAGGGGCCTAAGATGAGGAAATGTTTGACAAAGAAAGAAAGTGGTGGAATGCAATACTGCTGAATGTTATGCATATTTTGTGCACATTCACAAATTAATTGTAACATTTCATTAGAACATGAATGAGCGTGTTTTTTGTTTTTTTGTATGATCCATAAATTATGTCATTGATTTATTATTTTTTGTGGTCCTTCATAAACACATCCAAAAAGCATTTTTATTCCCTGTACATTCTAGTTCTACAGCATTCTCCCAACTTTTCTCAGAGGTTAACATACCAGCATACACCTTGTGTGTCACACAAGCTGTAAACACACACGCGCACACACATGGCCTCAGGTGTTTGAGCTTAGCCATTACCTTATCTGCCTGTTTTCTCTCACTCGTTCCAAGGGCTCCCTGATGAACAGCTCCCAGCATTCTACAGAGGAAGAATTTAATTCGCATTATTATTAAAAGAATCACTCACTGCAATCTGTTGCAAAAACACCATCTGCTAGATCACTCGTAGGACCTCCGTTGCTTATTAAGCAGAATTAGACAATGATTTCCTCTTCCCAGCTTTGCCTTCTCTCTCACTTTCTCTCTCTCTCTTTTTCGCTCTCTTTCTGTCTTTCTCTCTCTCTCTCTCTCTCTCTCTCTCTCTCTCGCTTTCTTTCTCACTCTTTCTTTCTCTCTCTTTCTGTCTTTCTCTCTCTACCCCCCCCCATCCCTTGCCTCTCGCCTAATTCAACTAAAGTCTTTTTATAGTGCCCAACAACTGGCTTTTCAACTGTATTTCCGCCCATTGATTTATTTATGGATATTAGTGGCTCATGTTGGCAGCTGAATCAATTGGCAGATGGGTTAACTCTTTAATGGCTCCTGTTACAATGGTCGTAGGCTATAGGCTGAAGGTGCTGCTTTGCGCTGATCAAAGGATCACCTTTCTGGTGCCAGATTTTTTTAACTTAAATTTTGTAAGTGAGATGGCAATACTGATCTCAGGGCAAAATTAAAGGATGTCTTCTTTATGAACACTGTGATGGTCTTTTTAAACAAAATAAACTGAGAAAACTTCCATTTCATTGCTACAGTTAAGTTGCATATTCACGCTTTCTGGGTGATCATTTGATTGTTTATGATAGACTTACTGATCCTTGACCCACAAGTACATTCTTCTGTAGCAGCTGTTGTGACATTAGACAAGCTTTACTGAATGATAACAAAAATCCCTTTGAATCTAATGAGAAACTGTAGTGATCTTTGAAGTTCCTTTCCTACATTGAGTTTCCAGTTTAAAATAAAATGAAGCTGGATTATAATGTGGTAGCTAATCAAAACTAGGCAGATTGAAAATGATGAATTTCCCACCCTCCTAATGTTAGCTCAGTTAGACAACATAAAACTGCATCATATCTATTCTAATGTTGTGACCTTTGTGCATACAAGTAAATGTCCTTTGAAATCAATAACAGACTCGAAGTATTTTGCCAAAAATTGAGTTTTGTGCTGCAATGTTTCATTAAGGTCAGTGAGATCTTGCTATGTAGGCCACTGTTCTGTAAAGTTTGTCCGACCTTGCAACGTTTGCTATGAGAGAAGGCAGAGCAAGTAAGGTTAATTTAAAAAAGATCCACAAAGGAAACCAGCAGTGGTACCTCTGGCCAAATTCTAGTGGTCAGTTATGTGTCTTTGGAGCTCCGTTTTACATGTATCAGAGCCAAAGTGGAAGAGACCTTCAATCTGTCTCAAACTATCCTTCCCTGTTTCCTCGCTGATCACAGGTGGAAGTGAGTCTTCCTGGGATAAGGAAAAGCTGCAGTCTCCACCTTCATCTGGAGCACAGCATGGCCTGGCCCACGCTGGACTCTCTGCGCAGCATGGCCTGTCCGGCTCCCACCTCAGCTCACTGCAGCAGAGCCATCTCCTGGCCAACCGTGAGTCTCTTTTCCACTCACTCACTTCATCACCAATGTATCCATTCACATGTTCCACTGTTTTTCCTATTAGCCATTTGCTCACTCATTCATGTGGTGTATCCCACTTGTCTCCTAAATCACTGTTCATTTCTTTTTTCATACTTTCCTTCATTTACTTCTCATTTGTTCTGTGCATTTTGTTTTTTACACTGAGTTTCATTATCCTCTTTTTCCATTTTCATAATTTACTTGAGTTACTTATCCCATTTTCTTCATGTAAACAGTACATCAAATTGTTCCAACCATTTAGTGTCTATAACAGCACTTAGCTGTTGACACTTGAACAGAAAATGTATTACCTTGATGTACATAATTCTGAATGCATTTTTTCTATATAGAGAGAAAATACTTTATGAACACTTTCAAATTATTTGCCTCTTTCTCTCTGTCTGTCTGTCTGTCTGTCTGTCTCTCAGGTCTGGACCTACCCTTCATGATGATGCCCCACCCCTTGCTGCCCGTCAGTCTGCCACCTGCCTCTGTCGCCATGGCAATGAACCAGATGAACCACCTAAACACCATAGCCAACATGGCCGCTGCTGCACAGATGCACAGCCCGCTCTCTAGAGCAGGAGCGTCAGTCATCAAGGTAGTGCACATATACACACACACAGACATACACTCTCAGTGTACATTCAAAATAAACATGTATAGGATTCATAGACTTTACACACAGAAAATCTCACTCTTCTTTCTTTTGCACTCAAGACTATGGACATATGTGGTTATCACTTTTATGATTGTCAGGCACTATTGTTCAAATGTGTGCAAATCTACAGTTTGAGAATTGCAGATCCCTCTGGTTTTGTTATCTTGTACTAATTATATGTTGGCATAAGAAAGAGAAACGACTGTGCCTTCGTGAAGCATTTAGCACTGGGGACTTGCAGTCAGAAGAATTCTCAGCGTCTACATGAGCTTTGATTCTGATACACAGAAGAGGATTTAACAGAGGTACTTTGTGTTCAGTCCACATGGAGCATGGGATAGGAAATTGAAGACAAACAGTTGAAAGGAAATTGTGAATCTCTAGACCTTTTCTGACATATTCCAGTTCTCAGCACCCAAAGCTAGTGCTCCACTGTAAATTGCTGGCTTTCATAGAGGAAGAGAGATCACATGAGGCAGGCATTTGTGTTTGCTTGCACACAAATGCCCAGAAAACATTTAGAAGCAGAAATAGACGCAGTGACACCCTGTTGTACAGGGTGTAAAATGTCTTAGCAAGCAGAGGAATTGGCCTCCTAAATTTAAAAGAAATAGGCCTAAATGTGCAGTGTTTTGTAAAAATGTCTCCTCATGACATCAACATGAGAAAACAGCTTATCCATTGTCCCTTATCTTGACAAAGATAAAACATCATTTTGTTTGGTGGTTTACATTGAAATGATGCTGAATATAAAGAACATGGTCCGTTTACTCTTACTTTTGTAAAATTTAACTACTTATATTGTAGGGGTGGGAATCTCTAGGCACCTCATGATTCGATTCGATTGCGATTCAGAGGGCTGCGATGCGATTATAAAACGATTATCGATGCATCTCAATGCATCTTTTTTTTCTATATAGCATTTTTATTTTCTCACTGTGTGAGCTCAAGTTTCGAGTTCAAATTTCAAGTTTATTTGTCATTTGCACAACGTCAGGACATTTATGCATTGAAATGCTTGTGGTGAGGCTGAGCTAATCACTCTACAGAAAGCAAATAAGTAAAAATAAAAATACAAGAAAAACCAACTGAAATATATTAAATATACACAAAATATACACAGAATATAGAGACAATATACATTTTAAAGTATAAAGACTAAGTGACTCGGTGTTATTGTTATTTAAAGTGACTTGGTACTTTTAAAGCAGTATTTGTAATGATCCATAATGAACTTACTTCCAATATCTTTTTTAATAAAACAAATGGAAGTGATGTGGCAAGTGAACTAGAAGGCTCTCATTCAGTGCTCTTGTTTGGAGCACGAGAAGCTGCTGCTACTCATCTGCGATAAAATGCGCAGTTACGGTGAAATAAGATCCAGTGGTAATGGATATCCACGCAGCACGTTACAGCTGTCCTACCCGTTTTCTTTAGTGATTTTATAACTTCGGTTTTGGTCTCGTTGTAGAGACAGGGGGGGGATCGCTGTGTCAGTAAAGTATCTTTGAGACGGGACGTGTGAGAACCGGGGTGCAGACTGCAGGTCACATAGCAACGATGCGTTATTCGCATTTTTAAGCGGCGCAGTTTCCTGGTACGTTAAATCTGCAACGAGAGACTAGCTGAAGCTTAAAGCAGAGCGAAGTAAATCTGCGTTTTCGTTTATATTGTTTAGCCTATACTAGGACATCATCACATACTGAGACATACTGGACATTAAATGTTGCGGCTCCCAAGGTGGTTTGATTTTTGTTGAAAGGACAAAATGTTATCATTTGTATTGTGACTCCTGATCTAACCTGGCTTTAACGCAGAGGCTGCCGGTCAGGTTTCTCGCTCTTCCACTTGTGTTTTTGCTGTGTGCCGCCACAGACTGTCCGGGCGCTGCACTTCCGCATTCCAAGTTCCGCCTTTTGCGTTCCGTCAACATTACGTTATAAATTAAATATTTAGAAAATCGATTTTAGACATTTGTGAATCGATTCAGAATTGTTCTCGATGCATCTAAGAATCGATTATTTCCCGCACCCCTATTATATTGTAATCCCACTATCCAGAGAAGCCTTGTTTACACTGTTTAGTCTCAGTTCTTCTCTGGGTTAGTTCTTCATGTTTTTAGAGAGTTTAGAAAGATTTCTTTGTGAAAATGTCTGTTGTGAACAGCAGTCAAAAGAACCCTAACAAACATCTAAAGAACATCACTTGCCTCAGTTATGGTCAGTGTACATGATTCCACAATAAGAAAGACACTGGGAAGAAATGGCATCCATGGGAGAGTTGCAAGGCTGTTTGTTCCACCACATAGGTCCAATTACATCTAGCATCAAGCTAACACTGCATTCCACCATAACAACATCATACAAACAGCAAACATGGTGGTAGTGTGATGCCCTGGGGCTGCTTTGCTTCTTCATGACCTAGACAACTTGTCATAATTGATGAAACCATGAATTCTGCTCTCTATCAAAAAATCCTGAAGGAGAATATCCGCCTGTCAGTTTGCGACCTAAAGCTTAACGCAGTTGGATTATGCAGCAGGGCAATGATCTGAAGCACACAAGCAAGTCCCCCTCTGAATGGCTCAAAAGGAACAAAATTAGGGTTTTGAAGTGGCTGAGTCAAGGTTCTGACTTGAACCTCATTGACATGCTGTGGCAAGAATATAAAAGGGCAGTTCATGCTTGAAAAATCCTCCAGTGTAGCTGAATTAAAACAATTCTACAAAGAAGAGTGGCCACAGTTTCTCAGCAGCAATGTAAAAGATTAATCACAAATTATCGCAAACATTTGATTGCAGTTGTTACTGCGGAGGATGGCACAACCCTTTAGGTTATATGGGTGATATAGGTTTTAAGCAAATCTTTATCTTCAATAAATATATATATATATATATATATATATATATATATATATACAAGATGTTAGAAATATTCCTTTGAGATTCTAATCCATGTTGTCATGATTGCATCGTGTATACCTGCAGATTTTTTCAAGAGCACTTTCATGCTGCAAATCTCCTGTTCCCCCACATCCCAAAGGTTTTTATTGGATTAGGATCTGCTGACTGGGAAGACCACTGAAGACCACTGAACGCATTATGGAACCAGTTTGAGACTACTTTTGCAACAATACTCAAATAGGCTGTGGCATTCAACTGATGATTGATTGGTATTAACAGGCTCAAAATTTGTCAAGAAAACATTCCCCACACCACTATTACACCACCTCCACCAGCCTGGACTGTTGACACAAGACAGGCTGGGTCCTTGGGTTCATGCTGTTGGCACCAAATTCTGACCCTACCATCTGTGTGCCTCAGCATAAATCAAGGTTCATCAGGCCAGATTATGTTTTTCCTGTGTTCAACTGGAACTGCATTTTACCAGTCTTTAACTTTTTGGGTGAACCTGTTTTTTTGAATCACCTCAAGATTTGACATGCATGTGCATTCTGAAATGCTCTTCTGCTCACCACAATAGTAGAGTGGTTATCTGAGTTATCATAGCCATTTGTCAGTTTGAACCAGTCTGGCGATTCTCTGTTGACCTCTCATCATCAACAAGGCATTTCCAGACACAAAACTGCCACTTACTGGATGTTTTTTTCTTTATTAAACCATTGTGAATAAACTCTACAGACTGTTGTGCAAGAAAATGCCACGGGATCAGCAGTATAGAAACTCAAACCAGTCCATCTGGTAAAAACAATAATGCCATGGTCAAAATTACTGAAATCCCATTTTTGCCCCCATTCTGATGGTTGCTGTGAACATTACCTGAAGCTGATGGCCAGTATCTTCATGATTTTATGCACTGCAGTGCTGCGACATAATGGGCTGATAATTGCATGAATGAGTAGGTGTACAGGTGTTTCTAAAAAGTACTCGGTGAGTCTATGTGTGAGTGTGTGAAAGTGAATTTTATGTGTATGTATGTTTGTTTCGAATGTGAATTTTCTCATTGGGACAATAAAGTACTTTCAATTGAACTCCATTTAGTTTGGTAATATGTAGTGTGTGACCATTGTGTCTTTGTATGTGTTCTTTAGGAGTGTGTGCAGGACAGTCCATCTCCAGCTCCATCTCTGGAAGAGGCTCCTCGCCCCGGCTCACAGCCCTCTTCTCACGTCAGCAGCAGTGTGTCCAGCTCCCCAAACCCACACCCACAGAGCCCAGAGCGTCTGGGTGAGACCGCACACACACGCATGCACACACACATACACACACACACACAATGATGTGCATATGCTAACTCTAAGCTTATGTCTGTAGTACTGAATTCAACTGATGGAGAGATTGCAGACCGAGAGACTGGCATTAATATGAAGAAGATAATCAAAGAGAAAGGTAAGAGACTGCATGTGCATGCATGTGTTTGTGCATCTTCAGGACAAAAATGTCCTTACTGTGTAAGAAAACCAGAGAACACAGGAACTACAATATCGAGACCAACAAAACAGCTGACTTTTTAAAGTGCTTTTACAAAAGCTACCTTTCATTTTTTTAAACATTTCCTTTTTTGTTACTAAGCTTAGGGTTAGGTTTAGAAAAAGTTATAGGTGCCTAGGTTAATGTCAGATCAGCATAATGTGCCTTTGGTGTCTCTAGCATAGTGATTTGAATTTCTTACAAACATTGTGAAATAATTCATTTTTCAAGTTTTACTCTGAATCAGCATATTACTACAGATGTATAAGAATGTTAAACTTTTGACATGTCCAAGGTGCTGCTTGGTTAAATTACTTTTTTAAGTGTTTGAATAACAACTTTAAAATTTCTGTATTTTCAGTAATTTTATTAATATCAAAATATGTCTTTGAAACAAAACAAGGTCATCTTAACATTCAACATGACTGCGACTGTAGGTCGACCATTCATTTAAATATAGTCATTCAAATGCTCATGTTCATCAAACGCTAACTTTAGCTGAAATTTTCCACCCTGTCATTGTCCACTCTGTCATGCATTTTGCATGGTGGATGCATGCATGATAGGGTAGACATATACAGGCCTTTTCTTTTTTTCTTCGTTATTTTCTTGTGTTTATAAAATAATACAGCATTTTTTTAACTGTAAAACTATTGATGTTAATTGAGGCAAACTGTTTTACAAAGTTTTGCAACAGGTAAATTTTACCTCCTGTCACTCATCACGCTGCAACAAGGGCACTTAAATAGTAGCCATGACCAAAACACAGACACATTCAGTCACTCTACTGACACGGATATTAATAGCGGACACACTGTTAATGAATCTACTGCCATATTTGTTAATATGGTTTTGTACATGTGGTTGGTATAGTGTAATGGGTAACACCTTTGCCTTTTACACTGTAGACTGGGGTTCAATCCCCTACCTGGGCAAGGACCCTACACTGTACCAACAAGAGTCCTTGGGCAAGACTTCTAACACTACCTTTGCCCACCTGTGTAAAATGACCAAATTGTAAGTCACTCTGGATAAGTGCGTCCTTGTCCAATCATCTTGATGTTTTATTAAAATAAATCAGCAATTGAGGGGCCTTAAGAATTACTGTTGAAAAGGGGATGCAATATCTCTCTGAAAATGACTCTAAAGTTCCTACAATACTTTATGTATGTTGTGTTTGCGCATAACAGGGTGGACACAACTTGTTGCGTCATAAAATGTTGGCTTGCCTTGGCAGAATAAAAAGTGTAAAAAGAGCAAAACGTTGTATCTCCAAAATGGTAACTTCGCAGGAGAAGGAAAAAACATACTTTACTTTTTATGTAAGATAGTCTCAATAGAACCAGACTTTTGGACAAGTCATTTTGGGTTCTTTCTTGTGGTCCATTCATCATGAAATTTACACACAATGTAAAGGGCAACATGCATTTTCAGATTTTGTCCAAAACTTAAAGACAAAAATGGAGATATGAGGTTTTGTTCCGATATATATAGATAGTCATATGTAATGTCAGATATATACATATATACATATATATATATATACATACATACATACATACATACATATATATATATATATATATATATATATATATATATATATATATATATATATTACTTATACTTTATATCATTCTTTCAAAATATTACCAAAAATCTAACCTTTATTAAAGGTGTGATTGAAAGGAAAAACTAAAAAAAAAAATATTTTTCTCAAATCTGTGTGTGCCATAATTGTTGGCACCCCTTAAAAGCGAAATCTAACTGAAGTATGTTCCTATTCATGTTTTATGTTTTAAAGTTCACCTGAGTTATTAGGAACACTCAAATCACTGTATCACTGTGTAATATACATGAGATGAAACACATGCCAAATCCCCTCAGTCATCCATCATTATGAGAAAGATCAGAGAATACAGCACTGATGTATGACAAACGTGAAAATTTTCCATTTTCCCCTATCAGGTTAATAATTAAGAAGTTTAAAGCAACTGTAGATGTTAAGAATCTGCCAGGAAGAGGATGTATGTCCATATCGATACCAAGCTGAGTTTGCTGTGGACACAAATATAGCCATGCAGAATAGAACCTTATTCCCACTGTGAAGTATTATGGTGGATCTGTGATGTGGCACTGGACAGTTTATTCAGATACATGGTATCAAAGACTCCATCGAAAACCAGCAGAAATAAAAACCTCACAGTCTCAGCCAGGAAGCTTAAACCGGGCTATAGTTTAGATCTTCCAGCAGGACATTGATTCAATGCACGCCTCAAAATCAACACAAAAATAGTCCTTGACCACAGAATTAAGGTTTTGGCCACCCCAGTTCCCTGACCTAAACCCAATAAAACACCTGTAGAATGAGCTGAAGAGGAAAGTCTACAGAGTGGATCCCAGAATCTGAAGGTTTCTGTATGGAGGAACGGTCTCCTTTGCCATGTGTTCTGCAGTCTCATCAAGCATTATAGGAGAAGACTCAGAGCTGTTATCTTTGCAAAGGGAGGCTGCTCAAAGTATTAACTGAAGTATTAACAACTGTGGCACACACAAAGTTGAGAAAATTGGTTCTTTCCTAAAAAGATTATATTTTTCAATCTTATTTTACTTCAAATAAAGGTTAGACTTTTGTTAACATTTTTTTAAAGGAAAGATCAAAAGGATAACCAATAAAGAATGCTTTTTACAGCCTGTTTTGTTTAGTTTTACCAGGGCTACCAGATCAATGTATGTGTGTGTATGTTTGTGTGTGTGTGTGCGTGTGTGTGTGACCACACATCCTGAATTGTATAAAAACAAACATATGTTTACGTATGTAAGGCAGACATAGAGTGAGAGCTTTTACTTAATATTCGCTGCACCATATAACTGCGTCATGGCCAATCTACAGTACGTGATATTGTGCTCAGTTTTAAGTTGGGAAAATAGGGCCGTCATCTGGCAGCAGAAAAGTGTTATTATGGGGCTGAAGCTCGTTAGTTAAATTTACACTCACTCGCTCTCTCTGACCGCATATCAGCGTCACAGACGATCTCTTTTAATCAATGACTTAATTAGGGGCTTAATTGAACATGTATGCAGTTCTTATTCATGATGCATGGTGTATATGAAGTGTGTGTGCATGAACGTGTGTGTGAGAAAGAGGGAGAGAGGAAGAGGATGAGTTCCATAAGAAATGTACAGTGACTAAAATGTCCAGTTAAACCTAGACCAAAGAAAATGTGTGTGTGGTGGAAGAGAAAGGCAGGTATATTACTGAAGCCTTTTTTTTCCATGTTGAACTGCATGTGGGCACTGCAACTACAACTGTGTGAGTTGCTTTTTCTGTGCAGGTAGGGATGTGTGTGTGTGTGTGTGCGTGTGTGTGTGTGTGTGTGTGTGGCAGATGGCAGCCTCAAACTCACAGTGTGCAGAACGGGGAGGAGATGGAGCAAAGATGCCCCAAGGCACTCTTAAAGAGATTCAATGTGCACCTGGCCTGTGACCATATTTTATTAATGTGTCTGGAAAAGAATCCGCCCTAAACACACACACACACACACATTGTGTTATTGTTTAGTAGAGAGCGCTTTACCACACTACAGTTTACTGCAGGGATAAGAAGAAATCTATGACTTCATAGAGTAGCCTGGGATGTAAGTCAATGATCATGGGCATCACACACACACACGCACACACAGTGCTTCTTTCTCTGATCAAACCCCTTTTAGTGTGCATACACTAATGGTTCACACATGTTGCTTTCTTTCATGTCCACCGCCACTCAAGACATGCAAATACACACGCACACAAAAACGTTCAAAAACACAGACATTTGTGTCTTTGTAGTCTACTTTAGCTGTTTCCCACATTACTTAAAGAGCCAGTCTGTAGTTTAGTAATGTATTTGCACCATACACACACAGTAGAGCTTTATTTAGCCCTGAAATATTGGTCCAAACTGGAATACAACCCGAGAAATTTCTGTCCTGACCTGACACACAACACTGACAAAATTCTGTCCAAACCAACCTGATCCACATCACGTTTTGATTCCAAAGATCAACAAAATTCTAACCCAGCTGGCCCATAATCACCCTGAGTGCCAACTAAAACCTGATATTTCTAATGATGGAACTAGTTAAATTACGCTGTGTCACAATAACTGTCATCACAGACAAAAAATTAAAGATTATATAAAATAATGTTGTAATAAAAGAATTACCATTTGTCCAAGAGGAAAACTTTACCAAATTTAATCACCAAACATTGCTTTTGAAGTTCTCAGGCATAATAAGCCATATTCTGCTGTTCGCTGTACAGTGCTGATATTGTGTGATGTTAGTCTTCACCTGTTTAATGAGACTGTTTCTATACATATATAATGTTACATGTAACATACTGTACAAACAACAAAAAATTCTTTACAATCAAATTAAATGTCTTTCTGGCAGCACTAATATGTGTTTTCCTGAATTGATTCGCTGTTTTATTTCCCATGCATCCATTTTCTCATCTGTGTAGGCCTTAGTGCTGAATTCTGTCAGCAGCATGAGTGACTCCAGCGTGCTAGATTAAAATTGTTAAGTAAAATGAACAAATAAAGTAAGAACAACTGAAGCAGCAAGTAATGCTGGGTCAAATCTGTTGAAAGTGGGAGATGGGCTTATTTGGGAAATGACTTCCAAACCCAACCAATCCTGTCATGAGGCAGGTCCCATTGAGTTTGGACAAATATTTATAGCACTTAACATAGACACAATGACATTGTGTGACACCTGAGAGGATTTGCTCAATAAAGCTGTGCTCTCCCTCCTGCAATTCTAATGTATGTGCATTGACGAATCTCTGATATTTTTAACAACACACCCTGCTATGTTTCTCATTGATGGTGTTATTCAGCTGTTTAACTTTTAAAGTGTCCTCCAAGTTCATTA